CGACGTAACGTACGACGTACGACGTACGTACGTACCGTACCGTACGGTACGTACGTACGTACGTAGTACGTACGTACGTCGTACGTCTCGTCTCTCTCTCTCTCTCTCTCTCTCTCTCTCTCTCTCTCTCTCTCTCTCTCTCTCTCTCTCTCTCTCTCTCTCTCTTTTTACTCCTCTCTCTCTCTCAATATGTATTGAATTATGAGTTACTGCCAAAAAAGTATTGGTTCTTGTCTGATTACATGACTAACTTTTGTGTTTGTTATTGTGATGGAAATCTGCAGCCGGATTGTATTACTGGTGATATTGTGTTTGTATTGCAACAAAAGGAGCACCCAAAATTTAAGAGAAAGGGGGATGACCTGTTTGTGGAACATACGCTCTCCCTAACTGAAGCTCTCTGTGGTTTCCAGTTTGTGTTGACTCACCTTGATAACAGGCAATTGCTTATCAAGTCTAACCCTGGGGAAGTGGTAAAGCCTGGTTAGTCTCTCTCTCACTCTCACTCTCACTCACACTCACTCTCTCTATATATAGGAAAACATTTATATAAGGATGCAACCTTATATTGTAGAACTATGGATGCACCTCAAAAATCCATCCGTTTAATGTTGAAAAACCCTTTGATTGATCATCTTGACATCGAGATGTATGACCATGAAGAATAAAAAGGTTTTAAGTCTCAAAAATAGTGCATTTTACAATATATTATCTACACCGTCCATTTTCAAGATTTTCATATGTTTATAGATCTATTTGATTTTAACCATTTTTGAAATTTAAAATTTTACAATTAGATATAAAAATACAGTTTGAGATAATCCTAAGAACTATACATATATATATTTACATCAAAATTATATACCATGATAAAATTTGAACGTGCATGTTACGTCTATAGCTACAGATGCATCCATATGCCAACTGCACCTATATATATATATAAGAAAAAGTGGGGATTAGCTTATTAGCTCATATGAACATATGAGCCCGACGGTTTAGATTTAATCTGGGCTGATCTGACGATTGCGGACGTCAGGTGGTGCTTGAATTTTTTTTTTTTTTCTACAAATTCAAATCATTTGAAATTTTAAGTGTGTTCTTCTCATCAAGTCGCACTTAATAAAAATATAAACAAATTATTCGTGAAAAACAAAATGACCAAAATGCTTCTTAAAACTTTTTGGGGGTATTTTGGTCAATTTATTTCATGCGAAATATTTTTTTAATATTTTTTAAAGATTCACTTATTTTTGACAAACGTACGCCAAAACTCTCAAGTGATTTGGATTGTAGAAAATAAAATAAAATTCAAACACTATCGAACATTTGTATTCGTCAGATCGATCCAAATTCAATCTGGGCCATTGGGTTCATATGTTTATATGAGTTAGTGGGTTAATCCCAGCTTTTTCCATATATAGAAAATATTGAGATGAGCCGATTAGCTCATATGAACATATGAGTCAAACGGTTCAGATTGAATTTGAGCCGATTTGACGGTCAAGATTTCATTTCGTGTTTGAATTTTAAATTTTAACGTGAAATTTTTGGTGTCCATTCTTTTTATTAAGGCGCACTTAATAAAAATATTTAAAAAATAATTTGTAAAAATTAAATTGATCAAAATACTTTCAAAACTTTTCAAGGGTATTTTTTGTCAATTTATTTCTTATTAAATTATTTTTTTATATTTTTATTAGATTATCCTATTTTTGAATAACACACGTCTAATTTCAAGTTATTTGGATTTAAAAAAAATAAAAATAAAATTAAAATACGAAATGAGGTCGTGACCATCTTAATCAGTTCAGATTCAATCGGGCTGTTGGGCTCTTATATTCATATGAGCTAGTGGGGTTAATTTCAGCATTTATATATAGTCGTTGGGAGGGCAAGGCACACAGGGGGATAGG